CATCTTGGATTAATTAAAAAAATCAGGCAGAAAGATAAAACTGCTTCTCTTATTACTTAAGGATTTCTATGTTGATGCTATCAAATAACTCCTCTTAAGTGAACATGACTAAAGGCAGTATTCTTGGAGCAGCTGGATTTTGTTAGCCTGAATGTTGACTCTTCCTATTCTTTTCTTATTCTTATCTTTGACTGTTCCATCCTGATCCCCCTGTGTTCTAATGCACTCATTTGTTGCCATTCTATCATACTTGAATATTTTTGAAGCACCTATTGTGGAGGTAGTATATAAAAAAAAGTATTAAATATTGTCTCCTTTTTATCAGACATATTTATAATTTGCCTTTTAATGCAAATTTGTCTGTTTTTCCCATCTTTCCCCCCCCCATCTTCTGTCTTCTTTTGGAATAGTTGAGTATGTTTTGGTATCCTGTCTTATCTCCCCTGTTTTCTTAATAGCTAAACCTCTTTTATTTTTTAAAAAATACTGTCTCTAGGTTTATACAAATTTAATTTATAGTGTACCTCTCAGTACTATATTACTTTATGTTATAAGATTCTTACAATTTACTTTCCTTTGTGCTATACTCTATATTTTATCTCAACATATGTATAAACCCCAAAGTATATTATTATTTTTGCTTTAGATGTTCAGTTGTCTTTTTAAGAAATTAATGAAAAATATTTAGCCATATAGTACCATTTCTGACACTTTTCATTTCCTTGTACTTAATACAGATTCCCTCCTGGCTTTTTTTTTTTTTTTAAGAAAGGGGAGAGAAAAAGATGGGGGGAGGGGAAAATGGAGAAGGAGAAAGAGAATCGTAAGTAGGCTCCACACCTAGCACAAAGCCCAACGAGGGGCTCAGTCTCACAATCCTGAGATCACGACCTGAGCTAAAATCAGGAGTCCGAAGCTTAACCAGACTGAGCAACCCAGGTGTCCCGCCCTTCTGGCTTTAGAACTTCCTTTAACTAAGTTTTTGTAGTGGAGATTTGTTGGTGATACTTTCCCTTAGTTTCTGTTTATCTGATACAGTCTTTTGTTTGCTTGCACTGTTTAAGGATATGCTATTCTAGCTTGATGGTTGTTTTTTGCAATACTTTTGTTCTAATGTCACCTGGCTCATAAGGTTTTGGATGAGAAGTCAGTGCTGATTCTTTTTGTTTGCTTGCATGTTAGGTATCTTTTTGTTCTCCACCTTCTTTGAAGTTTGTATCTTTTTTGCTGGTTTCCAACAACTTGGTCTCGATGTGCTTGGTATGATTTTTTTTTTTCCTCCCATCATATTTGGGGTTTGTTGAGCTTTTTAGATCTTAGGTATCATTGATTTTATCAAATTTATATATATTTCTGTTTTTCTCCTTATGCTTTTTTCTGGATCTCTAATTATACATATTTTAAGTCTTTGGATATTGTTATATAGATCCCTGAAGTCTCATCATTTTTATTAAAACTTTTTTGCCTCAATTTGAGTAGTTGCTCTGTCTTCAGGTTTACTGACTGTTTCACTACAGTGACTATTATATTTATAATACCTGTTTTTAAGACATTGTGTGCTAATTTAATAATTTCTGTTCTTTCTGGGTCTGTGTATATCAAATCGTTTTTACTTATCTCACTGTAATAGTTCTGTTTGTGGATCAAGTGTTTTTTCTTCTATTTTTATGAACTGTCTAAACTTCATAGAAAGATTGCAGGAGTAGTCAGAATTTTTTTTCCTTAAAGCATTTGAGAATAAGTTGCTGCTGTATGCTCTATCACCCTGAATACTTTAGAGTATATATCTATAAAAAATACATTCTGTCATGTAACCATAGTACAACCATCATGTTAGAAAAGAACATTATTATTACCATTTAAGTTTTGTCACTTGTCCCAGTACTGTCCTTTATGACAAAATGATCTGGTCCATAATCATGTGCTGTATTTAACTGTCATGTCTCTTAAGTGTTCTTCGTTTGGGAATGGGTCCTCACTTCTTCTTTTACTTCTGTGACCTTGACGTTTTTGAACATTATAGGTCAGTTATTGTGTAAAATATCTCTCAGTTTGGGTTTTTTTGATATTTACTCATGATTAGATTCAGATTTTTCAGCGAAACAATGCTGTGTTCTTCTCATTGTGTCCTGTCAGGTGATACTTAATTTTAAATAGTCTCATTGCTACTGATGCTAACTTCGATGATGGTTGTGTCTGCCAAGCTTTGCCATTGTAAAATTACTGTTATCCCCATGAAGTTAATATTGCTCTGTGGGTAGTTACTTTGAGACTGTATAACTAACTTGTTCCTTAACATAATGTTAACAGCAGGTTTCCATCTCTTTGAGCACTTTCTTACTATCTAGGCAGTAAGATTTCCAGACTCATTTTGTACATCACCTATCCCAGCCTTGGAATCTGCCATTTCTTTAAGAGGCCCTGATACCTTTATGATGGAGAATTTGGAATCCAAGTTTTTAGAATTTAAAAGCCATGCTCTGGGTGCTAGATGTGCTTATTATTATTGGGATATGGCACCTCTCAGGTTCTCTGAGGGAACAGAGCTCAGAAATATGAATGTGTTTGTATATATGGGCACACACATGGGTATATATATTTGCACACACTTTTTTATATTTACTTACCTAAATATATTGAAAGTCTTGGATTTATACTGATAATTTCAATTTCAGTTCAGTACAGTAGAATTCATTCTCATTTTCTTTATTTTCATATTACAACTCCTCTAATAGTGAGGAACCTGGCTACTATTACCCTTAATTATTTATTTGATCAGTCCTTCTAAATATAATTCCCCTTTACTGCCTCTGCCCCTTTTCTTCCTGAACAAACATACTCCTCATCTGTCAGGGTGATGCCACCATCTTCCTTTCCCACCTCTCTCCACCTCTTGTAGCACCCTCCTCATCCCACTGACTTCAGTGATCTTTGCTGTGCTGCTCTTCCCCACGTGTACTTTTCTTACTCCACTAGGGCCCTGGTACCCAGTGTAAGACCATCTTGTCACCTCAGTGCTTTCCTTATCCTATTCTGCCCCTCCATGTTCTTGCTTGACATCTTCCATACTGTACACCTCGCCACGTCCTACGCTTCCAGGAGGATACCTGTCTTACCCACTGGGGCTACATACAATATTCTGTATAACATTGCACCGGGATGCCTTCTCATGTGGACACTTTCCTCAATTCACTTTGCTTTAGTACTCCATGCTGTTCTGCTCCCTTGTATGGGAACTCTCCATCTCAATTCTTATCCAAACCCTATAGGAATGTCCTCCTCATTCCACTGAGACTGTGACACCTCATTTTGAGCCACCTTCCCAGGGTGAAGTTCTCCTTACCCTCTTGATCTCTAATACCTCATGTTAGGTGGCTGCCACCACTACCCCTGTGCTGATTTCTGCTTGTTCATCTGCGTTCCTTCCAACCCCCCTCCAGCCAGAGGAGATAACTCCCTTAGAACAAAGTCTCAGGACCACCAACACTGGTGACCCTCATCAGTCAGAGCATCACACCATGACAATGACAATGATTCTTGTCACCTTCTAAGTGTCCATTCATTCAGCCTCTCTCTGAATCTCCCTTCAGATATCTGCCACTTAGCACTTCATCCAACTGATAGAAAATCTCTTTTCCTTTCCTGTGTCCAGGTATTTTAGAAGGGGTACCAATGGTGAAACGTGTGCCCTTCTAGTAATAAAGTTCTACAGACTTTCACTAACTGGCCATCAACAGGAGAATCCCTATAAAAGTGGCTCATCTCCAAGTGATACACTGCATATCACTGATTCAAAGATGCACACTTTTTTGTTTGTTCTTGGGGTTTTTTTGACATTTAGTGTTTTTGAGTGTTAACATTTTTTCTTTCTTAAATATCTAAAGTATCATATATTGTGTGAAAAACAATAGGCTTTCTTTTTTTTATTGCACACCTATCTACTGTCTAATGGCACATAATCATCACATCACGAAAGTCATGGGATATTGAAAACAAAACAAGGGGTGCCTGTGTGGTTCTTTCAGATGAACACCTGACTCTTGAATTCAGCTCAGGTCATAATCTTAGGGTTGTGAGATTGAACCCTGTGTTGGGCTCACACATTGGGCATGGAGTCTGCTTAAGATTCTCTTTCTCCTTCTCCCTCTTCCTCTGCCTGTGCCTTACCCCCCCAAATTAAAAAAAAAAAAATTAAAAATAAAAACAAAACAAAAAACCCTGCTGTCCTGAGAACTACAACTATTCCCTTCAAATGTTGGTATAAAGTTTGTCCTATAATGCTAAGTGTCTTTCTCAGCTGTGGGAAGTTTCTCTCACCGTACTCATTTAAATCAGCTGAGAAGAGCATGTTTGGCCCTGCAGATTCTTATAGTCAGTGTCTATCTACATGGCCAAGTCAAGTGAGAGCAGAGTGTCCAAGAGTGGCATTTATATAGGAAACACTCAGGGACTATAAAATAATATCACGGATAACATGACTTCCATTCCATTCTCAGGAATTATTATGGAGCCCTAAGAAGAATAGCCCTGAGGTCTTGTTTCTTGCCAGAGAAGGATATTGATCTAGTGGACCGGGATCCAAAATGACATGTAGACCTACTCAGAACCAGCCACTGGTTAGATCTGGGAATACATGGATGATATCTCTTTGTTGGTCTTCCAAATTAGACTGTTCTATCTTCAATACCTAGCACCAAGCCTGGTCTATAGTAAAAATACGCTTTGACGGGTAGATAAAGTAGAAGTTAAAATATTATGTTTAGTCACAGCCTTTCCTTTATATTGATGTGTAGTTTTTGAAATATAGAATGGCTTTAATTTTTGAGACAGAAGTAACACCCAATGAAAATAAGTATGCTAAGGGAACAAATTTAGTTGAGAGCAGATATTTATTTTTTCCTCTTTTTTTTTTCTTTTAAGTATTCATTTTATCTTTCATCAAAAGACATACATGTGGTTACATGTAAAGGACATTGAACAGTTGTTTTCTTTTCATGCAGGGGCCTGAATTAATGAATAAATATGTTGGTGAATCTGAAAGAGCGGTTAGAGAGGTAAGATGATTATATCCTGAAGTGGAACTCTATGTAGGGGAATCATCCTTTTGTCCTTCTGTATGGTTTCCATTTTGTTTTGGATTGTAGATGCTGAAATTTCCAAATCCAAATTCTAGTGGTATATTTGTCATTCAGGCAAGCATTATTTTATTATTTAAAAATGCAATTTCAATCATCTACAATACTTCATCTTTATCTTTAAACATCATAATACTATGAACATTTAGTTTTACCAAATAAAGATTTTAACAACTGCCCTCATTTCATTAAAAAAAAAAATACTCCTGTACTTACAAGGAATGTTTGATCTCAGAATGAGATTTAAATCCTTTAAATTATGTAATCCTTTAAATTGAATAAGCTTAGTATATGAAAATTTCACAGTACTGTCCTTATTTTAATTATTTTACCTTTGCCTGGTGACTTAGATAATGCATCCCCCCCCTTTTTTTGAGTATGATTCCATGTATGTGCAATGTTCAGAATAGGCAGATGTATATATGTAGGAAGTAGCTTAGCCCTATGTATATATTTTTAAATCTTAAAAATACCTCCACACATACTTACAATGTTTAAATGTTACATTTCTAAGTTCTTATAAAAATCCATGTACATAACAGCAGCATATTATATACTATATTCAAAGATTTTTACTAAGTATTGTAGCTCTGTCAAATAATATAGGTAAAAGAGTTAAGCGTTATTGTGCTATATAATAAATGTCAATATAGTTAGTATGTAATACTTGAAAAGGATATAAAATTTTTTGTGATTTTACCATCACATTTTAGTACAGTATATGGTGTATAGATAGTGTATTATATTTAATTAAGGACTAAATGAATAAAAATATAAATACACAGAATGGAAAAAAAGAACCTTAAAACCATTGAAATATTTAAATCATCTTTTCCCCTAACTCAAAGAATTTGGTGCTGTAACTGTAAATATTACCTCAATTATGATGCATCCCCCTTCTAAGATTTAAAGCCAGTGCCTAATTGATAGGCCACTCACCCAAATTGCGGAAGCTGCACAACCGATAAATTTATGCAAAATCAGGGCACTTGGAGTCGGGTAACTATAGGAATTTGACCACAAGTCTTGGCTTTCCTAAGCATAGGTTGGCCTGCCTCACACAGACACCCTGTATCCTTACAGAAGCTAAACAAGGATGAGAATACACAAACAGCAATGGAATGGATGGCCTCCATTTGTGAATACCTGGGTACCAACCCAAGAAAATTAGAGATTGGAATACTTGGTTTTTCATCTAAGAAAAAATCTTAAGTTACTTTTTGTCCTTTTTCTTTTTTCTTGAAAATGTAGACAGTGGTAATTGTAGGAAACATTAAAACAACAACAGTATCATCATTGATTAAAATAAGAAAAAGGCAATATTTATTAATATTAATGTTTTATTTTTATGGTCATGATCCTTGTGACCAGAAGATGGGGGCCTAGATTACAGATAACACATATTTGGATTTCTTTCTGCCTGTGCTGACTTTTTCTAGCCCGTTTCCACATTTTTTGCCCTCATGACTGGCTAGCTGGCCAGTCCCTCTTGTTGGTAGTGTTTGACTTCTGGTCTTATCAGTCTGTGCTCTTCCATGGTTTGGTCATTTTTCTTGTCCTGGTTTTATGTCAGCCATTATTTTTCTGCACGGTCTTCAGAGAAATGAGTAAGGAGGGTGGCTTTTGGGTTTGTGGGTATTTTATATGCTAAGCTATAACTGATTTTACATGTTTATGGTTTTTCTTTTAAACATGTGCTTATGATTATTAATAATAACTGTCATTTACTGAGCTCTTACTGTATTCCTGGCACTGTGCTAAATGCTTTGCATTCTTTTTTTAAACTGAATTCTTAAAAATAATCTTCTGAGGCAAATATTTATCATTATCTCCATTTTCTAGATGTGGAAATTGAAGTTTAGAGAAGTAAAGTTACCAGCTGACGGTCATGATTGGGCTGGTTGACTTGCACATAATAGATTTATTTCCTAACATAGTTTTCGAACTAAAGCCAACTGCAAAATTTTCTAAAGTTTGCTATCTTTAGCTAATGTGGCACTCTTTTCACCAGATCTTCCGAAAAGCGAGAGCAGTGGCCCCGTCCATTATTTTCTTTGATGAACTTGATGCCTTAGCAGTTGAAAGGGGCAGGTAAGAAATATTTAAAAGGACTGCTATTAAATATTGGCAATTACATTGTAAAGTAAATTAACACTTCATATATAGATTTTATTTATTAATACATTTAGACTAAATGAAAACATTTTTTTTAAATTCATGTAGTTTTTTTCTCTTATACCCAACTATTTCATGTTATCACTTTATAATACTTCCATATACTTTTTTTTTTTAAGCACTGATATCCATTTGGGACATTTGAGTTAATTTTTATAGCTTATTTTTTATAGTCTTTACATTATTTACCCTAGTACTGCCAGTCAAACTTTGGGTTTTTATATGCATATGATAAAAACTGTAAACAAAACTCCATTAAGGATAATTATACAATACAGTAAAACCAATTGTAGTAAAAGGTGTTATTTTATAGATTTTAGTATTCTCTGGATTATGTTTCCTAAATAGAGTTATAGTAGAATAAAAATTAATATTAATTGTTTTGTTCCTGAATCTCAAGCAATAAAGATTATTTATATCATTTCAAACAGATGTGTGTGTGTGTGTGTGTGTGTGTATGTGTACAGATATATATGTGTGTGTATGGGTATGTGTGCATGTATCTTAACTGTTTACAAGTATGATTTTTTTCCTCTACAAATGTTTAGAAGTCCTTTTAAAGATTGTATATTACAAGTACTTCATGTGGAGAATGTTAATTTGTATGCTTTGTGTGTACCTTCTTGATCTATATATTGATTAGAAAAGTTTTGCTTGGGATCCCTGGGTGGCTTAGTCAATGAAGCATCTGCCTCAAGTCATGAACCTGGGGTCCTGGGATGGAGCTCTACGTCGGGCTCCCTGCTCATTGTGGAGTCCGCTTCTCCCTCTGTCTGCTGCTCCCCCGCTTGTGTGCTCTCTCTCTCCCTGACATATACATAAATAAAATCTTTAAAAAAAAAAAAAGTTTTGCTGATAATAATTACAGTGATGGTAGATGGCACCTTTTAGGTCCCCAGTGTTAAAGTCTGTAACAGACATTGGTGCTCTTTTCTTTCCTGGGTAAAGCTGCCTCATCAGATGAGAATATGAACTATCATGAGGAGACTATTATTGGGTAGTAGTCTGCCCTGCTCTTCACTCTACCCATTGGATAACCTATAAATACCTACTGGTCTTTTTACTTTATGAGTTGAAGTACTTAGACTGTCTTATTACTTCTGAGGTGAAGTGTCATAAAAGGTTACAAGTAGCTCAAGTTCACCTAACTACAAGAGAAGAAAAAGAAATAAGAGAAGTTTGCTGAAGCAGTGTGACCTGCCACATTTGTGTGATATCAGAGACATTTTTGGAGCCTAAAAAGGAACAGGGTGGGATACATTGTTAAATATGAACCAGATGTGAGGTAGTATATATAGCAGAGTTCTCATAAAATGCTTTTGAAATAAAAAGGTGTGAGAAACCAGACAAGGCACTTGATAGGAATATCCAGTTTTTGTGGGCAATTTGGCCCAGTAGAAATTTGCAAATATTTTAGAGATGCTAGTGATTTGCAGCCTCCAGATATCATTTCCCCTAATAGTCTTCATCATATTGTGTATTGTGTACCTCCCTCCTTCAGTGGCTTATTCAAACCAAGGTCAAATAAATTCTGTGGTGTTTCCTTTGTATAGAAAAATTTTTGGTCATGTTCATTGATGTTTCAGAAAACAACAATAAGTGGTACCTGGGTGGCTCAGTTAAATGTCTTAACTCTTGATCTCAGCTCTGGTCTTGATCTCAGGGTCATGAGTTCAAGCTCCTCATTGGGCTCCATACTGAGTATGGAGCCTACTGAAAAAAAAAAAAAATAGAAAGAAAGAAAACAACAAAACAACAATGAAGCTGATTAAAACAAAACAAAAAACATAATGCTAATGGTCCAAAGTAGAGACTTCTAGGTGGTTATATCTTAGGTGCACCAAGTTTTACGTAGATTATTTTTGATAGCCATAAGAATCTCAAAGAGTGATACTCTGTTTTCTCTTGTTTATTTGTTTTTTCTTTCTGTATTTGTTTTTTAAAATTGTGTTATGGCCAGCATTGCCTAGAAAATAATTGTTTTATCTAATAAGAATGCGGGCACCTAAAAACCAAAATATGTAAAACCTCCACATAAATATTTTTGTTCTTTAGCTACTTGAATTGGACAGTTCCTAGAAATTGAAAAAACAGTTATTGATATATACCAAAACTATAAAATTTCCAAGATACTAAAACAATTTTATGCATTGTTAAGGTAATAGAAAACATGGAAAAATTTAAAATTCCATAAACTAGTAGGCATTTCTACATAATATTGGGCTATAGAATAGTTATTGCTTTAATTTGTTAATTGTTTTTATGTTTTCTATGATAACATTCAGGTCAAACTCATATGACTAGTTCAAAAATAATAGTGCATAAAAAGACTGTTTCTTCTTATCAAGACTTTAATTTCTAAACTTAAAATGTTTAACAAATTGAGCAGGGAATTATTATATATTCTAGTCCCTATTATCTTTTGTTTGTTAAATCAATTATTTTGACTGTTTGAAGTTACTCAAATTAGCCATGGAACTGAGGTTTGCAGCCAGGAAGCACATTGTAAATAGAACATGGGTATATTATTTGCTTAGCTTTAGAAATATTTGTGCTTTCAGAACGAGAGATTTTTTTTTTTTCATGCTTATTAAAGTATCTAATTCCAACCACTATTTTCTCCTCCTCCCTGTCCCATTTAAATTTCTCTGGGGTTTGAAAAATAAATAAGCCTGGTGTTTACTTCTTTTTTTCTGAATACCATTTAAATTATGGGTGTTCTGAATTCATATTGTGAGTTAGAGAAAATGTTATAAGGTTCCCTTTATGAAGTGCTTTAATGATCTAAGATTTGGGAAAATTGAAAATGCTGTTAAAGTAGCAGAGCTCTTTGGAAAAGAGGTATTATATCAGAGAGTAAAGCACTGAGATAGGGAGGAGGCTTAAATTATACTGAGCTAATAATATTAGGTAATACTCATTTAGTGCTTGTTATGTACTGGAAATTGTTTTGAGTGCTTTACAGGTGAAGAAAAAAAACTCACAGAAAGGCCCCTGCCTTAATGCAAGGTAGGATATCATATAATTGACAGTTGGCTCCAGTACTGTGCCTGAGCTTCACACTAGCTTAAATATTTACCCTTTTCAGGGTCATAGTCAGGAGGAGAGAGCAAGCTGGGCAATAAATCATTGGTCAGCCTTGTCTTGGGCGGTAGTCCTGTCCTCAGAAGTGGAGAGATACAGAGCAAGTCCCCATATGCTGTATTCTCTTAGCCCAGTCTTCTCTGATAGATAAAATAGCCACTAACTAACCTGGCGATGCCTAGAAGATCTTCCTTGTCTAGGACATTCTAGTTAGTCTCAGGATCCTGAATCATCCTCATTTCCTGACATTGATTGCCTGGTAATGCCAAACCTTAAGCAGGATTAGAAGAGGTTCGAAATTAGGAACTTATCTCTAGAGCTAAAGGGGCTTATCTTGTTGTTTAATTAACTTCTAAATAATGTGACTCTCTTTGTTTGACCTCACTATGTTATGTTTTTTTTTATTTTGTTTTAGCTTGTACTCATCACAACAACCTTGTGTAGGTCCTATTTTCATCTCCGTTTTACAGGTGAAAAAGCTTAGTCATATAGATGCATGAATATGATAGCTCAAGGTCATCAGAGCTGGGATTTGAATTTAGAGATTTTGACTCCAGGGCAGATATTCTGACCCACTTTTTGACTCGACTACCATATGACAGATTATAGGATTCCAGATATTAGTAGCTAACTAAACTTTCAAGCTTGTATTTATTGTGCATTTTCTCTGTGACTTACTTTAGTAATGACCCTGTTTGTCTAACTGGGCTGTTGTTCATTCCTTTGCCAGCATTCATTCATTCACTTGTTCAGTAAAAATTTATTGAAATATGCTTAGTCTGCAACAGGCTTTATGTTGGGGTTAAAATAGTGAACGGGACCTAGGGCAATTTCCTTAACTTCTCTATGCCTTTTTTTCTTTATTTGTAAATTGGAGATGATAGTACTAACAAATTTTAGGTTGTTAGAATTAAATGCACGTAAAGTGCTTGACACAGTAGTTGGCATGTTAATTACAAATTAAAAAACTTTAGTGTTTCTTATAGTGTCTGCATAGATATTCTACTGTTAATAGTAATAATTTCCATATAGATAGAAATATAGTAATAGACATAGAAATAAATCCTGTCCTAACAGAGTTTACATTCTAGTGGATGAAACTGAAACATTTGGGAAATTAGAAAATAAGATCTACAGATGATGGATACTATGGTATTTCATCAGTCTAAGATGCCTTTAGTTGTAAGACACATCATTATTTTTCCTCTCCCTTTACCCCACAACCCCCTGTCTTGCCTCTCAAATTCCTAATATCGGAGAGATTATATGATAATTGTCTTTTTCTGATTGACTTATTTCGCTCAGCATAATACCCATAATACCATAATACCCAACGTTCCATCCACGTTGCAAATGGCAGGATTTCGGGGGTTTTTTTGTTGGTGGTGGTGGTGAGGGTTTTTTTTTTATGGCTGCATAGTATTCCAAGATGGGACCAGGGAGGGAGGCAAACCATAAGAGACTGTTAATCTCAGGAAACAAACTGAGGGTTGCTGGGGGTAGAGGGGGAGGGATAGGGTGGCTGGGTTATGGATATTGGGGAGGGTTTGTGCTATGGTGAGTGCTGTGAATTGTGTAAGACTGATGATTCATAGACCTGTACCCCTGAAGCAAATAATATATTATATGTTAATAAAATAAAACAAAAAGATACATCATTATTATATGTAGCATTACTGATGAAAAATGTAGCCTTAAACTGTGATATGAAGCCAAGAAGTCACCAACTCCAAGAGACGTCCGATTTCAAAAATTTAAAATAGGAAAAAAGATTTATCTTAGAAATAGAAAAAAGTGGGGTCCCTGGGTGGCACAGTCACTTGAGTATCTGA